AGAGAGAGAGAGAGAGAGAGAGAGAGAGAGAGAGAGAGAGAGCTGTAAGAATCATTACCAATATAGTAGGTGTTTCAGGTGAGTTCTTAGCAGGGAACTCTCCAAGGAACTGCAGAAGGCAGACGTCATCCTGTTGCGGAGAGTGATCTTTTAAATGCCTGCCAGTTCAGAGAACACCAAAACCCGATCAGTGTCAAATCTCTTCCTTGCTGTCCTAGCTTTGAACCTAGAAGGCAAAACCAAAGCAAGCAGGCAGGGGGCTGGGAAATAGGGGAACGGGTGTACCTTCCTTTCACCCTTTGCTTCTAGGCTGGAAGCAGACCCCATGTTCTCCCTCCAAGGGAAGGAATATACCTTAATATCTCATGGCTATATTGAAATTTCATGTAGGAAAGAACACACATGCTAAGTATCTGATGTGAACACATACCAGAACCCCAAAGCCTCCTAAGGCCCCTCTTAACCCCTAACTGCCCACCTGCCTGGGGTAATAGTGATCCAAGATAAGGTATATAATTTTCAATTATAAAAGCTACTTTTTGCCTGCCACTTTTGTTTACTAAAAAGTTCTTAGTTTAAATGATTTCAAAGCTACAGAAAAATCACATGACAGTACAAAAGCTCCTTCCCCCAAATTCCTAATTTCTAGTGTTTTGTACTTAATGGAAGCATGAGAGTCAGCCGTAAGACACTAGCTTCTTTTGGAAAGGAAGACGGGAAATGAGTTTGGTGAGGGAGGGAAAGGACTTGAATTTTATAATGCTTTAGTTTATGGGGAATGGCAATCTTTTTAAGTGGTGGGTTGCTCCCTGTACCTTTCTGTGTCTTTGAAGGTTTTTTTTTGTTTTGTTTTTTAAATTCTTTCAGAAAGAAAATTTGGGTTTTCTCCTCTGGGAAGTGGGGAAGTGTTGTGTGATTTTTATTGTTGAAGGAAACATGGTTTTATGATGTCTCTGCTCCGTGCATACAAATTAAGACACTTAAACGAGCTCTGAGGTTGATTCACCTAGGCATCGTTTCCCTTCGCCTCTCTTCCTTAGTACCTCTCACTGCTAAGTGCCCAGTGGTGTCTGGCATGGTGAGATTAAAAGTTGCACTTTTCCTAATAGATGCAACTCTCCTCCTGATTTGCAGTAAGCAGGACCTGCTTTTAAGCAATTACCCATTGTTGGGGGCCATCAGACACACTGTGCTTTGGTTCAGGTCATAATCAATAATTCATATGTCAATAGGAGAGCCATTAGCTCAGGTGAAGGCAGATGTCTTTCTAATGAAAATGTTCCATTTTCCAAATGACTTTTCTTTTTCACAGAGAGTTGTGGTTGTAGAAGACATAAAAAGATGGAAAACTATGTTGGAGCTTCCTGATCAAACCAAAGAAAACCTAGTTACAGCCTTACAAGAATTAAAGAAGAAAATACCCTCCAAGGAGGTGTTGCGATCGACAAAGATAGGTACGCTCCTGCACTCTGTGAATAGTCCTTCCAGTGTATCTCCCCTTCTTCCTGTACATCGCTAGTTATCTGACCCATCCGAGCTTTTCACACTGTCATTGGATGGGACCTTTGTTTAGAACGTTTTACTAGCCTCAGGCTAACACTTTTGTAACATATAGTAAAAATTCGAGAAAAAAAATGAAGTGACAATACACACAAAACGAAGTCCTCAATCTTTTAAATTTTTTGTTTTCATTTTATTGTGTGTTGGGAGGGGGATCGGGTGTCCGTTTACCACAGTGTACTTACGGAGGTCAGGGGACAACTTAGTGGATATTGGTTTGCTCCCTCCAAGATGTAGCAAGGTTTGGTGGTAAGCACCTTTACCCCACTGAGTCATCTTGCCACATCTCCCCCCATTCTTTGATTAGAGTGGACAGAATTACTCTGTTTGGTTATTATATAAGGTTTTAAAACCCTGTATTTAATTTCTGTACTTATCGTATAGTGCTGCTAAGTGACAGTGATAGATAGGTAACATTTTGTGTGTGCCCGATGCTGACTATGCAAAACGATTGAGACCTGATTGTGACCTGGAGATGCTGAGGGTTTGGTAGAGAAGGTGATGGTGTAGACAAGCAGGAACAGTGCCTTGCTGCCGCTATAAACAAGCACATGCCACCCGACACTGTCCACTGTTCTGATCTGGAGAGTCTGCATGTGATCAGCAAGGATAGAGCTCGGTACTTCAGAAAGACTCCATAAAGGAGGTGGCATTTCAGCTAAATCTTGAAAGAAACTCAGCTTAATCTGTCATCAGTGGCAATAACTGGCAAAGCCTGGTTTGTAAAACAAAATGAATGCAACATTTGCCGCTGTGTCATTTATTATGGCTTTGGAAATATTTCAGAGGTAAGTGAGGGACCACGTTGAATTGCCATTTTAGTGCAGCACACAACTGTGGATAATAGGCAAGGGAGGAACAACACGTGTTCCTCAAGCTGCTCTCTGTTCCCCGGAGAGTCCAGGGTAGTCTTTCACAGCTGCTGCTTCTGCCCTCACTAGAGCAGCCGTCGCCTCCTCTGCCTCCCCTTGACCTCTTGTTCCTGAGAAGCAGGAGAGAGCAGCGTCACACTGTCACTAACAGCTGGGAAGAGCTGTGCAGAGTCCCCAGGGAGCTCCCAAGAGTCTTAGAGTTGCACCCCTGTAATATAAACCAGCATCTGAGGAAATTAGATGCTTAAAGAACATAAAACCCTATCATTATAGCCAAGGAGATGCTCCCATCTGTGGCAGGATTTGCTGTCTTTGTAGGTTGTGGTCACTAGAGGGCAATAAGACCATTCACATGAGCTTGTAAGGCCTTTCCACCAGTAGAGGGTACTAGTGTTTAATATTTTATGAC